CAATAGGTTCTGGTGCCATCCAATTTGAGAACGCTGAGAAGTACAACATGCAATGGATTTTTGTAGGTTCCGACTGGAAATTTACAACCCCTATTTTAAGATACGAGAATACTGAGAAGTAGAGTAATCAATAAAGATTCTGTTTTCTAGGTTATGGTTGTGATTTAGTGTGCCATTAGATTTTCGAGTATTGTTAAAGAATGGTTTAGCAAGATCTGTTGGGAAAGATGTTGCCTATGTTGCTCTACTTCTCGAGCAGATTTTGAGTTATATTTCAAGCAACAGAAGTTGCTAAAGAAAAATGACTGTTTCAGTTATATTTAATGACTGAAGTTAAAGCTCTAAAAGGTCCCCTTTTTTTAGAATCAACTACTTTCTTTAATGATCAGTGGATGAGAATATTTCTGCAAGGAGGAATCTGTGGTTTCTCCAAGCACAGTAACAGATCTCTTCTAAGCTGTTATTATTTTGTTGTTCTTGTTTTTTCCCTGACAATAGCCTCTCCCAGAGCGATGTTCTTGTAAAATTTTCCTGTTATTATATTAAGAAGAAACGAAACAGTCTGGTCTATAACACATAACTAAAAAAAAAGTCTATTGCTATATTCCGTTTTATCAATATATCTATGGCAGGAAACAGTTTACAACTTGGAGTAATTCATACCAATAAATTAAAAATATGTCCTTTGTTTTTGTGTAGGAAAATCAGTTTCTTTATAATCAGATATGTACAGAGGAGCTAATAAAAACAGTGGAGCTACTAAATTTGATAAATTCGAGAATGATTTGGAGATTATTCTACGGTATCCAAGTAGCGAGCCAGTATGTTTACCATTGGAATTTCTGGAATCCATCACAGATGGTTTTTCCAGCGATCAAATAATTGGCACAGGTGGTTTTGGAGTGGTTTACAAGGTACGGCAATTTTTTTTCACACTACTACTAGTTTTCATCTTGGTTTAGAAAACCCCCAGCTTTCATATTTCTGTTGCAGTAACAAATGAAAGACTCACGTACATGCTATATATGATGAAGGGGATGCTCCGGAGCGGGAAAGTAATTGCTGTGAAGAAGATTTCCGATATGCTTCTGCTGGATGATAACAGATACCAACGTGAACTCGAGTATCTTATGGGGATCGTGCACAAAAATGTTGTACGACGTGTCGGTTACTGTATGGAGTCAAAGTGGGGAAGGGTACCGAGCAGGCGCAGCCAGAAGCATGTTATGGCTGAAATGCGCACGCGGTTGCTCTGCTTCGAGTATCTAGGCAACGGAACCCTTGATAAATATATTGCCAGTATGATTATCAAATACAGTACACTGTGCATCTGCATTTAATTGGCATTAGTTTGCTGTTATGCTAGTAATTTTTAGTTATCGATTTATGTGAACAGGTGATCCTATGGGCTTCGGTTGGGACAGGAGATACAACATCATTGAGGGGATTTGCAAGGGTTTATACTTCCTTCATGAGGAATGGAGTATTGTTCATCTGGACCTTAAACCGCAAAATATAATGATAGATGATGACATGGTGCCAAAAATTATGGATTTTGGGTTGTCACGGCTCTTGGGTGAAGAAAAATCTAAAACTATCACTCAGAACGTCACTGGATCACTGTAAGCTAATAATAAATCAAGACATTATATTTTATTACTCCAAAATGCTATTCGTATTTTCTTTAGTCTTTGTGTTAATTGTAATTCATCAGTCTTAATTTTTAGGACGATATCATACCATAGAATTTGTAAAAATACATGACTATTTGCAATTGATGGTACCTCATATGAAATCTATTGGACATCTAAGGTATGAACAATTCATTGTAACTTTCATAAACCAATATCAGTGGGTTTTTTTGCAAATACAGTATCAGTGTTTTTTTTCAAATACAATATCAGTGTTGTTTTTGAAAAACAATATCAGTGTATTTACCTTGTATATGTGACGATATGATTAAATATCATCACATAGGATTTCAACATAAGAATAGTCCGAACTGGGTATAGCACTGGTAGGAAAAAAATTGCACTACTAAACAAATATTTGTGTAAGCGGTTGAACACACGTAATTAGGTTTTTATCCGACGGCCGATCTGCTTGGAAAGGCACCCGCCATAGATTTGTGCAACCATGGGCACCCATCGTAGACTTGTGACAGGTGTCTATGTTCATGCATCTAACGTATGAGAAAGATATAATTTTTCTTTCTAATTATTCTTGCAACAAATTCATTTGTTGGATGCATAAGCATCAACAAGATCGCTTCAGAGAGACCGTCCCCACCCAATTTTTTCCATATATTTACACCCTGCCAACTCTACTAGCTAGCCAACTACGGAACCACAATTCACGCTTTTTTGTGCAGGTGAGGTTTTCATGATTTCAAAACAGAGCCTACCCTCACGTGATCTTTGTTACAACACCACCAAAGTAATGTTGTTGCTCAGGTGATACCTTGTTAGAAGGCCACGGTAGAAATACTGTTGCTGACGGCAATAGGATAAGTTTTTTTTTATTTTGAACCTCTTGCGGAAAATGAGTTTTAGAGCCACCACCTATGACAATTGCATTTTCACAGCGGGTGTCTCACGTGAGCGCTCTATATATGCAAATGGTTCCAATTCCTCTCAAAAGTCTATCTTTTTTGTATGATTAGTAGGTTGCATTTTGGCAATGCACTTTTGTAGAGTGATATATATTACCATTACATTTTCAATATCCAAAAAGTTTCCGAAGAATTTAAATATTTTTACCGTAGATGAGTATGGGCATGATATATCATTCCATAAAATGAAATCTCAACTTACTTTCTCTGTCCTGAAATATAAAGTATCCAAGTAATTTTAGGACATATTATAACCCTCCCTGGTTACCATATTTGGGTTGGTGATACACTAATAGTAGGTATGGATGTAAACGTTGCCTTTCGGAGTGTGTGTTCACCAAGAATCCCTTATAATTTGATACAAATTTTAAACACTAGATTCCTTATATTTTAGGACAGATGGAGTAATTAAATGGAGCGAAAGAAGGCAAATTTTAAGAAAATCAACAGAACCATTTGTAGAGGCTGTCACATATAAGGAATCATGAATGCATCAATGAAAAAATGGCTTATCCACAAGAAGATTTTTCAGTAAAATGCTTGTAGAATTATGTTTCCATATACATTCCAAAACTACTAGCCTTCTGCCACCTTTAGAGCATCTCGAAGAGTCTTCTTTAAACTCACTCTCTAAATCATCCATTTGCATAAAAATCATTTTCTAGATTTTTTCATCCTCCAACAATTATATCCTTTGCGCACTCCAGAGAACTAGTCTCGTTCTCCATCTTTGGCTAGCGAGAAATCTGGAATAGATGATGGTTATATTTAGAGATCTAATTAAAGAAACTGTTAGAATATATTTTCTTTTACCAAAATCTCTATTTCTATCAATTAAGAAGGATATAAAAAGGCTCTTAGAGTTGCTCTTAAGTGGCGGTAAATTGAGCCACCTATGAAAATGTAAGTGAGATGTATGGAAAAATCATATTTTAGAGTTGACGGACTATTTGCCAAGTACTTTATGATAGTGAAATGGATCCATTTCCATTTAACTTTTATCAAAGCATGGAGTTTCTAAAACCTTTGAATTGTATTGCAGCGGATACATGGCACCAGAATACATAGACCTTGGAGAAATATCTCGGGAGGCAGATATATTCAGTTTGGGTGTAATAATTTTAGAGATAATCACAGGTCACAGGAAATATCCCCAGACAAATCTACGACATTGCCAGTATTCGAGCGACAAAAATAGCACCGAAAATATAGGAGCGTCTCTTCAGCAATTCACTGACAAAGTAAGAAAATTTAATCAAGCTTTTGTATATGCTTCCTTAGTCGTTACTGTAGGCTCTAAATCACCTGTGCAACTGCGTAGGAGCTTGGAAGATGGAGGAAAATATTTGAATCATCACGGATTGATGCAACATTACAAGAAGTATATAGCCAACAATTGGAACAGTTGATCGACATCTCACTAAAATGTGTGGAACCTGAACGGAAGAAAAGGCCTCATGCATGGGACATACTTCAAATCTTTATTCCTAATGCAGGAGACATAGGTTCGTGTGATATAAACGGCAATAATGACCACGAGGTATGATCTCCGATGGTGCATTTCTTCTGTTCTCTCCAAACAATCTTTTATCCAAAAACCGTGCCAAGAAAAACATATTGCTGTTCTCTTTGCCAATTTTCAAACGAGTTTGACACTACGCATGATTAAGAGTCTACGTGTTTGTTCCTGGTTTGTTTTTTAGAACGTACTGTTGACAATCGAAATGGGATCGGCGAGTAGAAAATGGATTGGAAAACAATTGCGAACAACAAAAGAACAAAATTAACTAAATTTGGAGCAATTTGGGCATACTTTGCAAAATCCTAGAAAAACTGGCCTAGACCGGTTTGCCAAACTGGCCCATGACGGTTTTGGCAGGGTCTCACACGTGGCCAGTAAAGACCGGCTTAGGCCGGTTTTCACATACTCGAGCCCGAATTCGTGTTTTTCTTTGGAAACTTATCCGATCTCATGGGAAACTTATAACTGACAAATAAGTTTTCTACTAGGATAAGATCACTCCCTCTATTTATATAAGAGGATGGCCGGTTGACAGATCCATCTATCCCTTTCCAGCCCCCTTGTTGTCCAGCACTTTTCTCGACCAGATTTGCTGAGTTCTAGTTAATCATGCCGATCTTAGGATACCCCCGCCATGCGTCTCCCCGACGGTCTTCCCGGAAGTTGTTCATGAGTTTTTCTGGCGAAGAACCAACATTAAATCAGCCTCGTCGACCAGTTGGTCTGCCTTTTAAACCTATCTTCATTGTGTATCTAGTCCGTGTGCAGCCTCGAGCAATCTAGCCCCGACTAGTGTTGTAACACCCTAAATTTTGTTGCTTCGACCATGACCCTGAGAAGAGACCAGATGCAGAGGATATCATCAAGATGCTTGTTGAAACGGAAAGTACGGATCAGTTTATCGAACCTGATGTAACAGAATCTGTGGACGAGTTCACACCTGATGAACAGGTCAGTGTACCCAGGGTGAATGGGTGAGAACATTCACCCTGTTCGTTTCGGTTGGATTAGCTTATAAGTCATGGCTGAAAGTACTGTTGGCTGGTTTGGTGTGAGAGGAAAATATTGTTGGCTGGCTGATAAGCCAAGGCTTATAAGCCAGATACAGGCTGCCGAACAGGCTGATTAATATCAAAAGTAGTTATTGCAGATGGCTCTAAATTAAAGCTTCATACCATACTCTTTGACCTGAGTCGCTAAAAAACTGTCTATGATGGCTCCCTAAACATGCACCCAGGATATTATGTTGACAAATAAAAAAGTGTCAGTGGACGACCCTTTGTGCTATAGCTAGTCACGGATCATGCAAAAAAAAGTTATTTATTAAGTTTAGATCTTATTTGACAGCGACAATATTCATTAAATAATTCTGCTTCTGTCCATTTCATATAAATATTTATGAACTTACTAATACTACATCACATTTTCTCAGGCTGTCTAAAAACATGTAAACTGGCTCTTATTTTCTGCAACCTCGACATGAAAACTTAAGCATTGCATACATTATATTTTCACCATATAATAGACATCAGCTTTTATCCAACATATATTTTCGTATTATTATGCAAATCTTTCAACTTTGGAATTGACTTGGTCCACACGAAAGCTAGGGAAGCTTATATTAGTGAATTTCACATATCACAACAGTTAACATTTTTTTTAGTACACAGGCATTGCAAGTACTATCATTTCATCATGTTGTTAACATCTTTATCCTTTTTCATATCGTTTTGGAGTACCACATATTATCATGAGTCGTAGGAAAAGAATTGTACCTCATAAATTGTTGTTGTCAAACTAAAGTAAGGTTTGGCCATCTAGGTAATTTTTTTTTAAAAAAGTCAACTTTAAGTTCCTGGTCTCATTGAGAGAGCTAAAATGGTCTTATAAAAATGATCTCACTACAACATTACGCTTGACCACTTTGGGCTGAGGTGCTAGTCCAACTTGTACTATTATCAAAGGCTCATGTGTGCTTGTTAGGTAGCCGATGTGGGGTTGGATAATGTGAGAATGAGCCTAAGTTTTGGCACCGGCCGGTACACAAACGATTGGCACATATAATATCAATGCCAACATTCGACATAGTCTAACATGGGTATCTCTTTATATAAACATAGTCTCCAAACCCCCTCACTCCTCTTGGATATGGGAGGTGGGGAATAGAGTGGACGAGAAATGGCAATGGATAGATTTGGGAGAAGGCGATGTGGTGGATTACCATTTAAGGGATTGTAATAAACTGTCTAAGTTTTTATACCAAAAAATGTGGTAAACACAACCTTTTACTAATGGCCTCCAATATGTTTTGCTGGTAATGTGAATATTTAATAGACATCAAATAGAAATTCCTATTTAATTAGAATCTCATAGTCCAACTATTTGAAAAGTGTAGCACACTGACGGTTAGCTGTTTTTGCACCAGTGTGTTTTTTTTTTCCTTATAGCATCTGTTCCAAAATATTTTTTAACATTGTCAATAACACTGAATTTGCATTTCAGAAACAAAGAAAAATGCACCATTACCCTGCATCGGTACAGACTATGGAGCTCAACATACTAGAGCGTGTAGTAGCTGGAAGCGAGGAACCGAGCCATCTAGATTTGTCACTTCTAAATAGCATCACGGAAAATTTCTCTGAGCAGAGAAAAATTGGTCTTGGTGGATGTGGAGAGGTTTACAAGGTAACTGCTATTTTATGGCAGCACAGCTTCATGTTTGCTCATTTCATAGCATTACTTGACATAATGGTCATGGCCTTGCTCATAAGGATATTATAAACAGGGCATCCTTCTAAATGGAATTGTTGCTGTGAAAAGGCTTTTCAACAGCCGAACAATTAAAAGCAAGATGTTCCATCGGGAGGTTCAAAGTTTGATCACGGTTAGGCACGAAAATATAGTACGGTTTCTGGGTTATTGTTCTTTTACAGAAGAACACGTGTCAATATTTGATGGAAGAATAATTATGGCCGATATACGGGAAAGATTGCTCTGTTTTGAGTACATAAGCAATGGAAACCTTCAAAACCATCTAACAGGTATGAGAAGCTTTCCAATTCACATTAGAAGACAGCAGATCAAATAAACATCAATCTAACACAGTGCTTGCACCCGAAAATATACCAAACATCAAATTAAACTAAGCTCATCAACAGTGAATTAAATTAAAGTGAACAACAGAGAACGAATCTGATGAAGCGTCAATTCCCTAATCATGACCACTTCCTGAATTTTAAAACAAATTTGTAAATACTCAAGTAAACGCTATCAATATTCTTCTATTCATTTGCTTACATTCAGTCCGGTGACCAAAGCGTGCAACTGCATTTTCATATGATCTGGTTACTTTCTTCACTACTTGTAATCCTAACTTTTAAAGTGCATTTGATGAATAATCATGGACATTCTGTACAGATAAAAAAGTCCAACATTTTGTTCAATGCTCACTTGCATATTGATAAGGCCAGAGAATTGGGCACTTAATGCATGAACTGGAGGGGGATTACAGTAGCTAATCCTAGCAATGGCAGCAGCAGAAGAACTAGTTCGGCCTCCCTGGGAGGCTCTGAACAAGACAACTCTTCTTCTCCTTAATCCTAATGCCCAGCCGCACAAGTGGTTATAACCCCCACATGAGTGGCTGAGGTATTCCTATTATTCCTTGCATGTTCTAATCTTAGCTAGCTTGGACTAACTCTAGCCACTAGAGGCAGCCGAACCTGCATGTTCTAATCTCAGCTAGCTTGGACTAATTCTAGCCACTAGAGGCAGCCGAACCTTCCTTCTTCTTCCTATTATACTGCTGCCCAATGAAGGAGTCCACAACACATATACACTGGGCACATTATTATTTTATGATTTTCAGCTTCTAAAACACTCTTGATTCTTCATATACTTCTGAAGATGAATTGAGGGGACTTGAATGGCATACTCGTTATGAAATTATTGTGGGGATCTGCAAGGGTTTGCTCTATCTTCACAAGGAGAAGGATATCATCCACATGGATCTCAAACCTGCCAATATACTACTAGATGATCTCATGGTGCCCAAAATTACAGATTTTGGTCTATCGAGACTTGAGAATAATTCACAAGCAGTGACCACATCACGTCTTATGTCACCGTAAGCTACTAATAATGCATTGTTGTTTCTGACACTTGTTTTCTTACAAGGTCTTTATGTCATAGCGTGTTGATATGTGTGTTCTTATCATGCAGAGGATATTGTGCTCCAGAATACTTTCTCAAAGGCAAATCATCCAGCAAGTCAGATATATACAGTTTGGGAGTAATGGTCAGAGAGCTGGTGACAGGAAGCAAAAAGGAGCCTGATCTTACTAAAGTAAGAGTTGTGATTATGTCACCGTTGCATGGACATGTCCTCTTTTCATCATGATGTTAATATAAAAAACCTTGAATGAAATTAGTTGCAGGAATTATGATAGTTTGACATATTCCGAATCTGTGTTACTATAGCCAATGTCGTCACTTTAGTTGTACTATTATGCTAATTACATATACATGTCATTTGCATTAAATATTTTGGTGCCAATTTAAATGGTTCTGTGTAAATGCAGGTACTTAGAAGATGGAGGCACAGGTGGATTAAAGCATCCAAACATACACCATTGGGTTATAAACAAGTGACAAAATGCCTCCAGCTGGCCCAAAGATGCATCCAAAATGACCCGAAAAACAGACCTGACATAGTAGTCATAACACAAGAGCTCAACGCATTGGATAGTAAGGATGACCAATTCCAGGTAAGCCCATATGTGCTTCCTGAACCTCAAGTCCCTAAAGCTTTGATAGGCTGTGGTAAAGCTAAATGTATCTTTAATTTAACGATCACAGGAAATCCCTCCCTTGGAGGACATGCTTGGGATTGAACCGCTGGAAATACACTTTCCCTTTGAACTTGACCAGCAGATATCACACTCAATAGAGCTGAGCAACGATACGGATGGTTACATTGCCTTCATGACAAAGGCAAGGCTACGCCACTTCTGCATAGAGCCAAACAAGGGCATTGTCCCACCACGATCCAAGTGCAGTGTCACCATAAAAATGCAAGCACAGGTCGACAAACTGCCAAATGATCACTACAAGAAAAAGATCACCGTGCTGAGCACCAGGGTAGATGGAGCTCTTGCTGCTATGGATGGAGCTGGAGACATGTTCATTGGCAAGGACCGTAATGTGGTTGATAAGGTGAATGTGATGGTTGTTTTTGACACGCCACCATCGGCAAACGAATCCTGAAAGGACGTCTGAGATTCACCATGACTTATGTCATGTGAAAATATTCTGAGTATCATGAGTGGCAGAATCGATTTCTTCTCTCTAGAGACTAGGATATTTCAAACACTATAACGAATATAGCAAGAATTTAAGTTTACAGCAAAGTTTCAGTCAGATCTGAAAGGATGTGGTTTGCCGTGACTTTTGTCTGTGAAAATATTCTTGAGTTATATAGTATATATATACAGTTAGGGGGCAGTAGAATCATCTTGTGAGGCTTACATTTGTAAGAGTACATATATCAGGATGTTTTGGCTGATACCTATGCGGAAAGTCACCGTACAATTGCATAGTATGGTGCTCGAATGATTTTTCTGATTTTACAAACGTGCATTTGTGACATTTCAAATATTTTTGTTGAATACATGAAGAATTAAAGGGTTGTTTGGATGCCAACTGAATTACAGTGATCAGATAAAATAATCTGAAGATGATGAAAACACTGCATATTATATACATGAGTTGGATTATAACAATTTGACCACTGGATTATAATAACCCTTAATCTGTCTCCAACATACGTTTTTGAGATTATAGGTCATTTCTACTTTAAGAACAGTAATCTACCTCTAGTCAAGAGATCTAAACACTCTAGTCATTATATTCTTATACATAATTCACAATATAGATTTCTATAATTTAAATGGATTCAAGTAGGCGTAAGTTTAGTGTAGTAATAATAATGGGACCAAAGTCTGTTTCGCTTTTGCCTCAAAAAAAAAGGATGGATATATTACTTTTCTATCTATCTGATTCTAGATTCACAAGAAAATGGATGGATATATGATACCATTCATATCCATGAAGAATATAGTACTAGATGAAACTATTTAAATTATTCATGTGACTAATGAATAATTATATGGATTTTTATGATATTAATAATATGTACATATTAAAAGTACTCAAAAGTAATGAGTAATAATATTAATTTTGATATTATATTGATATATTTTTTTTTGAGTTAATATAATTAATGGCATTGATTTAATATGGTTAACTATTTTTATTTCAATTTAGGTGATCAATGATATATAATATAGTTGAATCTATTTATGGTGCACAATAAAGACCACCTACCCCTCCCTTTTTCTGATAAAAAGGATTCATATTGAAACACTAGGAACTCTTATCTCCAAACTGAGCGTACCTTCCTTACGATGAAATCTGCCCACGACGGTTTAAGTCGTCGACTTGACGTAGGTGTCTGTATTTTCTTAAATTTATTTTAGAATTTAACGAGACAATGTGTCATTTGACAACGAGGCGGCTGTGATGACTTTGTAATCTTAAATGTGATGCCTTTGTCGGTCTTGATATGCGCCAGCTCACCCTTTCGGAGGTGCCCACAAGGTACGGTGAGTATAGCTGCATGTAATCGTACCTATGTTTATGTTTGTAATGATTGATTTGGAAAAATATCTCCGCTTCAATGAACATCAATAAATGATAGATAGGTGCCACGCCACATGCGGGTACATGTTCAGACTCTTAAGTCAAGTCTTCCACATCAATGAGAAATTAGCAAGGGAAGAAGTAAGGAGTGCAGGGCCGAGCTCATTGCTCATACAGTCCAGTTCCAATCCATGCCTTCCTAACCAGGTTGCGCGTGCTATATTTTCAGTGTTAATTTTCTGAGTTCTCTTCGCCGGTCGTTGTATCGATTTTTCTACTGAACTCGAGCGGATACCGACTTTTCCCTTGATCTCTGTTCCTTTGCTTGGTGCATCTTCCATGGTGCACGCTGTGTACTTGAGCAGATTCAGACTTGCAGTGTAGTCCGTTCGTGTTTTCTACTGTACTTTCTATTCCCCGATTCTGTGAATGTTCCCAAAAGGCAAAAGTCCGTTGAAATTAGTCTACGCTGTGAATCTGGATCGTCAAGGTTGTTTTCATCTTTGTCGATTGTTTCCCTTCCTCTTGGTCCTCCCTCAATCTGCTGAGGTGCAACTCCTCTGTAGTCTGGACTCGTATGCTGTCTTCTTTTTTTTCATCATCATTTCTGATTGGACATTCTTCAGAGTTGAGCTGTGTCCAGTTCGACCGGGGAGTTGACGACCCATATTGTCTTATTGCTGGTAAGTCACTCTCTTGGATCTAAACAAGCGATAGTAGCAGGATACTAATTGTTACTTACAGTACGGATAATCGTACAACTATACAAGCCTTGTGATTTCACATCATTTTTGTACATGATAAGACAGAAGAAGAGGAGCAGCTTGTTAAGTCAGGAGTGTTGAGATGTTCTTTCTTTTAGCTTCATTCCACTGCCGTTCTTGACATTGTGACTGCCTATTAATTATTGCCCCTTTTCCTTCTTCATTCACAAGACTATGGAATCTCTATACTTAGTTTGCGCTGAGATGGGACAAATGGGACCAAGAGTTTGAGATCCGTACTGCTAGATTTACGAGTTGAAGTAAATTTATTCTCTTGACAGAGAATCTTTTTTCTCTTTCGTTATTGCTTTCGTATGTTTGGATAAAATAAAATAGTCATTACTTTTGTTAGCCTTTTAGTAGTTGAGAATAAAATAAAATAGTTTGCATCGCAGACACACAAAGTGAGTAAACCAAGACTGAAATTATCAGAGAATGCCTCTCCCATTGAGGAGCACAGTAACTATTACCATGTTACTTTGGAGCACATTTTTTCGTTGTTTTGACCAACTCTTTTTTTTAGGGTTTTGACCAACTCTTTTTTTAGGGTTTTCACCAATTCTGTTTCATTGTTTTGACCAACTCTTGAATTGTTTCCTGTGCCACGGAGCCAAGTGTTAGGACGTCCCCATTCTTGTTGGTGGTGTTGGTTATACTGCTATACAAAATGTCCGGTAACTTTATCTTGTACTAGCTCCTTTGAAAATGTAGCTCTTACAGTTACAGGCCGTTTCATGTGTTGGCCGTAGAAAAATGATCTTGTAGACCAGCTCTGTAATTTTATCTTTCTTGATCACATGGAATTTCTTCATCGGCTACATACTTACAATATTTCTTATGGTTCGTGCTCGAAGGGCGCATTTATATGTAGTAGCTACGTACAAAATGGATTCTGAAGCTGCTAGTATGCATGATGTCTTGGAGCGCTTGCTGCATGATGAAAGCGCAGAGCCAAGAGGACTGCCCCTATCACTTTTCAGAACCATCGCAACAAATGGTTTTGGTCATGGTTGGATAGTTGGTGATTATGGATATTGTTCGGTTTACAAGGTATGTTTCACTGCCGACTACACTCTGTTTGGGTTGTTTTTTGTTGGCCTAAAAGCTGCTGTGAATGTGATGACAGGGTGAGCTAAGCTTTCTAATGGAAAAGTCGTTGTGAAGAGGATGGCTCAGGAAAGATTCAAAAAATGAGCTCGGTTGAGGGCGAAGCACAAGAATATAGTTGGATTTCTGGGATACCACCGTGCTGATACACAAGGGAAGGCGGATGGATTTGAAAGGTTGCTCTGCTTTGAGTACCCAAGTGGAGGGACGAAACTTGACGGGGATATCGCTGGTAGGAGAGGATGGTATATCACATAGTTCAATTACTTTGTATGAATATCAAGTAAGTATATTGGAGACTAAGAGCACGACTGGTTAATAATCAAATTCTATTACGTTTATGGAGGTTTATTTAACTGTTCTAATAATTTGTTTATTCTCGCCAATTACAGATGCCTCCCGTGGACTTGGCTGGAGAACGCGCTATAAAATAATCAAAGGAATCTGTGAGGGCTTATTTTATCTTCATCAAAACCTTACTGTTCACTGAGATCTTAAACCTGCCAACATATGGCTGGATGAAGAAAAGGGGCCAAAAATTCATGGTTTTTATGCCTCAAGGCACCTTGAGGAAAAGCAAATCAAGGTTAATGTACACGATATTCTTGATTCCGAGCAAGATGTTGTTTTCCCTACTAATGTTGGGCTAAAATTATGCTACGTTGTACAATTTTCATGCAGGGGATATATATATATATATATATATATATGGCACCTGAATACTCTTCAAATGGAGTGAATCACATCGAAGGCGGACATATATAGCCTTGGTCTTGTAATCGCAGAGATACTCGGCGGATCCACATATTCTGTAGAAGAGAACGTAAGAACAGTTAAAATACGTGACTATACCAGATGAATGTTCTATAATGAAACACTTCGCAAAAAAAGGTTCTACAATGAAATAATTATATCCTGTACTCCTGTTTGAAGACGTGCATAGCTCTAGGTGAAAATTAAGTAAAGCAAAATTTAGCTGTGAAAGGTGAAAACACATTAAAACATGTACTATAAGCAATAATGATAGTTTATTATTATTCCGAGAAACTTTCCCTCCTTATTTTACTTTCATTTTTGGAGAATCTTTGTTGTTACGCTAGTTTGACGCTTGAATTGACATGCATGATTTGAATGCTAGCATCTACTTCCTCTGATACAAAATAAATTAGCTCGATCTTAGAATCACCCAAAATTAAACTATCTAAATTCAACGACTTCATAGGAAAGAGTAACAACATCTAAGTATATTATGAAAATATAATCTACGATCTATTTAGTGGTATTAATTTAGTCTCGTAACCATTGATGTTCTTTTGTACAAATTTGGTCAAACTTAAAATTTGGATAACTCTTGATTTATTTTGGGACGGAGTATGTATATGACTTTTATTTACAAGGTATACCACATGACTATTTAATTTTCCATATGAAAAGATATCTTCAGTTCCCTTAAAAGCAATTAATTGTTGCCATTTCATATAGCTACTTGAAAGCTGGGCTTACAGATTTGGAACGTCACTAGAAGACACGCGCTTGGAACAAATACGAGTATGCGCTGAGATTGTCGAAAGTTGCTTGGAGCATGAGACCCTGAGAAGAGACCAGATGCAGAGCATATAATCGAGATGATTGTTGAAACCGAAAGTACGGACGAGTTTACTGTTAACAACACCAAATTCGGGTTTCGTAAACACAAAATGCACCATTACCCTGCATCGCTACAGACTATGGAGCTCAACATACTAGAGCGCGTACTAGCTGGATTTGAGGAACCAAGGCATCTAGATTTGTTACTTCTCAGAGCATCACGGAAGATTTATCTGAGCAGAGAAAAATTGGTGTAGGTGGATGTGGAGAGGTTTACAAGGTAACTGCATGCACGACTCATTCATGTTTGCATAGGATTACTTGATATAATGGTCATGGCCTTGATGATAAGAGATATTAAACAGGGCACCCTTCAAAACGGAGAAGTAGCTGTGAAGAGGCTTTTCAAAATCCGGACAATTAAAGACAAGATGTTTCATCGGGAGGTTAAAAGTTTGATCATGGCTAGGCACCAAAATATAGTTCGGTTTCTAGGTTATTGTTCTTTCACAGAAGAACATGTGTTACCATTCGAAGGAGGGACTATTATGGTAGATATACGAGAAAGGTTGCTCTGTTTTGAGTACATAAGCAACGGAAACCATGAGAACCATCTTACAGGTGTGACTTTCTTTTTACATGATGTCAGTAGCTCTCCAATTCACAGTAGAAGTCAACTCAAATAAACAGCAATCTAACTGTGTGCTAGCGCCCAAAAAATATGCCAAACAACAAATTTTAACTAAGACGATCATCGCCGGTGAAAAATAAATTAACGTGCGCAAACAGAGAAATAATCTGATCAAGAGCCAGTTCCCTAATCATGACCATCTCCTAAATTCTAAAGCAAATTTATAAATACTCAAGTAAACAGTCATTCTTCTATTCAGTTGCTTGCATACGGTCCAGGGACCAAAGCGTACAAATGCATTTCCATATGGCCTGGTAACTTTGTTTATTGCACCATCTTCATTACTTCTAATCCTAACTTTTAATCTGTATTTGATGAATAATCGTAGACAGTCTATACATATAAGAAAGGCCAACATTTTGTTCATAAGGCACACTTGCACATACACTAGGCACATTATTGTTTTATGATTTCAGCTTCTAAACATTTTGATTCTTCATATACTTCTGAAGATGAATTGAGGGGACTTGAATGGCCTACACGTTATGAAATTA